CCTGATACGCACAGTGAATATTTGCAACAGTTTATAACACACTTTTACAGAAACATAATCAAATTAGTAGATCGAGCAATGAAGAAAGAAGATAGTTCGGCTCAAGGACAAATTATTACGGAAATTCTTCAACACCTACACGCCTGCAATAATTCTGTTAGAGTAAGTTTGTTTTTAATACAGAATTTAATTTAACTTTACATTATGATAAAAGAAGTAATATGATTGTATAATAGTTTGACTATTGCATTTGATATCTTGAAAATGTTTACAAATATATCATATCAAATAACAATTTTAAGATTTGCAATTAAAAATAAAAAAAAAAAAAAAAAACGAGAAAAAAAAAGAAAAGAAAAAAAGATGTTGTATTAATTTCACAGGTTTTTTACGGGCGCGAAGACAGTTTAGATAAAATTGAAAATTACATGTTGGGAAATAGTGATAAGCCTTTGGTATTATATGGCGAAGGTGGTTGTGGAAAAACCTCCCTTTTAGCTAAAAGCGCCGGACTTGCGAATACCGTTTGGTTACCGGGCAAGAAACCAGTGAGTATTATTCGATTTCTTGGCACAACACCCGATAGCAGTGCTTTGACGCCAACATTAATATCGATTTGTCAGCAGGTAATGATACAATTTCAATTTTTAGGTTTAACCATTTAATTTTTAATTACTTTTGCCGGATATTAAATTTCTTACGATTATCGCTCCAAATGTCAGATCAGATATCCAATAAGATCAGAACATTTTTGCACAAGTGATATTTTTTATTTATTTATCGTTTGATGAGAATGTAATGTTTTTATATTGGATTAAAGATATCATACTTTCAATGAGAGTTTTGAAAATCAATAAAATAGAAAGTTTCCTATTAAGCAGCGAGTAGTAAATTTCTGAATTATCATTATTTAAGTAAAAATAAAAAGAACTCAATTTTTTGAAAACATTCTTTTTTTTCCCATTTTCAAGATAGCCGACAAAAATCATGTTGGCTATTAAATAGAGAAATGCAAAAATCAATTTTAAACCTCGTATTGCCAAATTAAATACACTTTTAATTTCTTTAATTTTCAAACGTTGAAAAGTATCTTATTAACTCTTTAAATGATAATGAAATTAATAAAATTGATCAAATTATGTTTTATCGTTTATATTTATCATTTTACGTGTTAAAAAGCATATACAGATTTTTTTTTTGAAATGAAAATTGGTTAATACGTATCGATGAATGAAAGATTATTTAGCACTTTGCAATGGATAATCGTTTAAAAAAAAAAAAAAAATTCTCTCTAGATTTCCTACAACTACATGATACCTTTCGAAAACATCCCAGATGATTTAGTACCTCTGACGGCGCACTTTAAGCATTTGTTAACGCTTGCAACCGTGGAACAACCAATTCTTCTATTTCTCGATAGCGTAGATCAATTAACTGGCGTTCAGGGCAATAAATTGTCCTGGCTACCCACACGGTTACCAGTAAATACAAAAATGATACTCTCATGCGCCGCTGAAGAATCTAATCCAGTTACATCAAGGGATTATTATTTATTAAGGCGAATGATCGATACGGATGAAAGTTTTATCGAAGTTACTGCTCTAGGGGAGGATTTGGCAATGGATATCATTAGGTAACTCACTAGTTCTCCACTCATATCAATTACTCCAATCATTATTTTCAATTTGAAACAAATAAAACTGACTTTTGACATCTGAATTTTTAATAAAAAATGATCTGTCGATAATTTCAAGTTCGAATAATATCACGATTAATCACAATTACTCTCCTACATTGATCTCAGGCCCCTTCGAGCGCTCATTATACCAGTTAGAGAGAGAGAGAGAGAGAGAGAGAGAGAGAGAGAGAGTATAGAATATAAATCAATCATTTTGTGTAACTAGAATGTGGATGAAAACGGCCTGTCGAGACCTGAACAACTACCAATGGCGCCTAGTAGCCAACGCCATATCAAAGTGTTCGTTGCCAATATTCGTAAAGCTCGTGTTTGCGGAAATTTGCCGATGGCGTAGTTACACAAAACCGGCGGACACGCATCTTGCCAACACCGTGATGGATAGCATAATGATGCTGTTCGAGCGTATCGAGAAGCAACATGGCAAGATTTTGGTTTTCCATGCTTTGGCATACATAACTGCCGCAAAATCAGGACTTTCAGAGTCCGAGCTCGAGGATCTTATATCGCTGGATGATAAGGTTCTGGATGACGTTTATCAGTACCACTTGCCTCCGGTGCGTAGAATCCCGCCGCTTCTCTGGACGAGAATTCGTAACGATTTGCCGAATTATCTGAGCGAGCGAGAGGCCGACGGCGTTAGCGTGCTCAATTGGTACCATCGGCAATTCCGCGATGCCGCAAAAGAAAGATATTTCAAAAATATGAATTTGGCCACTTACTTTCACTCGATGATCGCTGATTATTACTTAGGGATTTGGGGCGGCGGCAATCCCAAGCCTTTTAAGTATACGGAAATACAAAGACACAGGCAGGTGCTACGTTTCTTATTTGCATAATTTTTTCTCTTTGCGTTGTAAATTTCATTTTTCATTTCTCTCTCTTTTTTTTTTTTTTTTTTTTTTTTTTTTTCACTTGCTTCACAGCGTGAATCTTTGCTTGGGAAGCTTCTACCGCTAATATGTCTTCTTCAAGGAAATTTGAAAACTATCCGGAAATGACATATTAATATCCTTTACTTTATAAGCAGTAATAATTAATTAAATATTTATAGAAAAGTGAGAATTTTAATTATTTAAATATTTGTAAGAGATAAGGTGTATATCGAAAATTGTTAACTTCCCATCAAAGAATCTAAAATTAATCCTTAAATTTATCTGCTGCTTAAAGCGCATGATTTTCTTATTGCGTTCATTCATCCTCGAGTACGACATAAAAGCGTTATTTAAGCTAATAATTTAATTGTCCAATGTGTTGATTAAAAACAATAATAATAAATTTTATAAACAGATTTAATCTACAAGATAAAGAAGGAGTGGCTGATCGAAAAGTTCCAGAACAACCATTAGCATTCTATTCGAAAGAGGGAAAAATTTCAAGATACAATCTTAGAAAAGTATTTTCAATTTATGCATATAATTTTATTTCTTTAAAATAATAATAATAAAATAATGATAAAAGCAGGTAAATGCTTTGAAAGATCATTGTTAAATATCATTATTAAATGCTATTACACCGTTTTTAGTTTGGCGAGTTACCATATCATTTGATACGAGCACATCGCTTTAAAGATCTTTTTCAACACGTACTATTCAATTACGAATGGTTGCATGCAAAACTTAGTTCCTGTCCTTTGCAAGCAGTGCTTTCGGATTTTGAAGATGCATGTTGCAATATCGATGACCAAAATTTAGTAAGGTAATCCTATAATTATTCGCTAAACGATATAACAATATAACCCAATGTGTTAATAAATTGATAAAATAAAAATATTGAATTAATTATTCGTTGCGTGACTTTCGAGTTTTACTAATTGCGACCGCTTAAATATTATTTAATTGTATAAAATTTTAGAGGAACGAATCGTCTTGCTAAGCACCGTGGAAATTATTGTTTTACGAGAACTATTTAAAAATTGAATTAACTTTTATATGATGAAGCGCATCATTTCCGAAAGGGCCTCTTCAAGATTTCGAAACACAGATATTAAAAGTATTTAAATATATTGTTATGGGTAAGGGACCATTTCCCTTCTCAATTAACTTTATTCATCAATTAACGATTAATTAATGCTTTTCATTATAATTTACAAAAAAAAAAAAATAATAATTAATAATAAAAAAAAAAAATTATTGAAAAAGTATTCATTTTCTATTTTATTTGTGTTTTCTTGAAATCTTGTTAAACTACTTAATCAATAGAATTCTTATGCAATATCGAATTCAAGCCTCAACTCTAATTGACGTAATAATCAAATACAAAAATGTAGAAACGTAGAAAATACATTCTTAATAATAATAGAAAAACAGATAATAATAAATAACGATAGGAAAATTATTATTATTATTATTATTATTATTATTATTATTATTATTATTATTATTCGATAAAATGATGATAATAAGAAATGTCTCTGTCTTATTAATAAAATCAGAGAATTAATGCTGGTAGCCGATGCCTTGCGCTTAGGTGGAGCTATTCTAGGAAGTCATCCGGATATGCTTGCACCTCAGTTAATTGGACGACTATTACCGGAAATTGGAAATAACGTGAACGTGTGGATGTTGTTAAGAGCTTGCGATAGCGACGGGGCTAAAGATTGTGCTTTACTTCCTCTATATCATTGCTTACACACTCCTGGCGGTCCGTTAAAAGTAAGGTTTGGCCTTTCTTCAATATTCTTTTAGATGACGTTTTGAATAATTAATCGTGATTTGCGATAAAACAAAATTATTATATTAAATTGAGAGATTATTGTGTCGAGGGGTGTGCGTAATTAAAAAAAAATTTTTTTTTAAATTATTGGTAAATTGAATGTCTCGACTTTTATATTCATATTATAATAGATAATTCAATATTTATATTATGTCATTACTTTAAAGGCAAATTTAAAAGTTTCTTTAAAAATTCTTCAGAACATATGAATAATTTTGAAATATTTTCTATGTAACGTGTTACCAATATTCCAAATTGGAATGTATCAATTTATCTTGGTTTATTTTTATTATTACTTGTATAGTAATAAATTACATTCTTGTTATATATATATATATATACATATGTATATGTATATATATACATTTTTCTTTTTTTTTCTTTTTTTTTTCATTTTTTTTTTTTTTTAAATTCTCAGTATTCTTTAGAAGGACATCAATTTGCAGTTTTTGGATTTTGTTTGACTTCGGATTATCGTTACGTTCTTTCTATATCAAATAAATTCATTACGTGGGACTTGAGCACGAGTGACATGACGAGAGATGTAAATCCAGGAATAGAAGGAATAATGCAAAAGTTGATTCTTAGTCCAGACAACCGATATGCAGCTGCGTATACAAATAATAATCAAGTAATATCGACTTATTTTAACTATAAAGATAAATAAATATTAATCATTTTGTTTATATTGTGTTTTAGACAGTAGCATTGAATACCCTAACAAGTGAATTTGTTATTATCGACAATCCATTGCCAAACGAGGAGCCAATAAGCGGTATATTTCTCATGAATCATTTTGTCTTTATACATGGAAAAACTCATTGGTATAAATTCGATCTACGCGGGAACCTTCTTGCTTATCATTCTAGCCCAGAAAATACTAATAAATGGTTAATATTAGGTAAATTATGAACTTTACAATGACAATTTAACCTAATTTTATTAATACAATCAAACAATACCAATATTTATCTATATATTAATAATTGAATAGGGAGAACAAAAATCTATGAGAATTTTATAAATTTTGTTTTTCACTTTTTATATACAATCAATATATTGTCGTGAATTTAAATAAAATAGCGTATAATAGGTGTGAGAGAAAAATCTCCAAACTAGGAGCTTCATAAATAAAAATATTTACTTGATTATAAGGTAATGTCGAGTATTAAAAAAAAAAGAATGGCACAATAAAATATCAATTAAAGCTTGGCATATTCAAATGATTTACTATAAGCTAATGAGATTCTATTTTATTTTTTTTATTAATAGAATTAGAATATACAACATTGGAGGATTATAGAATAGTTTTCTGGACTGGAAATCTTGAAAATTCTACAATGTTACTACACACAATCTTAAAGAAAAAACCCTTAGAACCCTTTCAGTTCCATAGGTATAAAATATCTTTGATATAATTTATTAGCATTAAATGAATTTTTTGTTTCCTTTTAATATTCGAAATTTCTACAATCATACGTAATATTTAATTTTCAAATTTTTCTATTCCTCTAAACGATGTATAAGCAGTAAACATTTTATTTGCTTATTAAATTTTCTATTTACTTAAAATATAATCAATCAAATAACTATTTCAATCATTTGAAAAGGTATTCTGACGTAATGAAATTTGTATTTAACTAAAAAATGTAATAAAACACAATTATTTTATTTTGTTTAAATGAACATAGAATGTTATTTCGACTTTAAACAAGATTGTTGTGATAATATTTATGAAAAATTACATTTAATTCTGTTAATTGAAACAAAGTGCGATGGTCATGGCAAAGGATAAAAATACATTGTACGCGTGTACAACCGAACATTTTTATCAAGTATCAAAATATACAATTGAAGAAACATTTTCATGCTGGAAGAAAGAGCTGGATTTGCCTAGAACACATAACGACGAGGCTGAGTATTTGTTGCAATTGAAACTGAATAAAGAAGAAGACACGTTATTAGCAACTACAGGAAATGGCTTTATAGTTTGGTTGTTAAAAGAGCAAAGAGACGCAATGGTTTTAATGCTTCCAAATGGGGTAAGAAATATAAGTACTAGGTTGATGTGCTCAAATTCAATTATGATTAGTAATAATAAAGATTATGCAGTTGCCGGAGTGAGGTAAGAGTTTTATATCAATGGAAGAAAAATCATTAAAGAAAAGCAGCTGTCAATTAATTTTTTGTATTTAGAAAAAGCTTGTATGTCTGGAATTTTCAAACATTAGAATTAGTGAAAATTTTGGATGCACATTTTGCTCGAATTATCCAACTGGAGGCACTTACAATAGGCAATTGGAACAGTGTCATAACATCTAGTATTGATAGAAGTGTAAAAGTGTGGAATATTAATAATATATTTGAACAAGTTCATGTCATTGACAGGCATGAGTTGCAAATCGATTCACTTAGGTAAATTATACATAAGTTTTATTTTAATATGAGAAATATAATTGTGCCTAAATTCTTGCAGTTTGGCTGAGCATTGTGACCTTGCAGTCACCGTAACTAGAGGTTGCGTTGGAGTTTGGGACTTAAAGCGTGGAAAACTAATTTCTCAATTAGCCGATAGTCCATTAGGAGCTATTGTCACCCATGCTAGTATAACTCATGATGGAAAGCAAGTGCCGATTAAGTACTCTTTCAAATTTTATTAATAGTCTTTAATTCCTTAAACAATTGTTTCAGATATATCATATCGATTGAATCGGGAAACGTTTTAATATGGAATCGCATTACAGAACAAGTACTGTTTAGAGAAAAACAACCAGATGTGAGACAATTGATGCTCCTGCATGATGGTTCAAAATTTGCTGTTGTATCTAGACCAAATAATCCTCCTGGAGTTGAATCGATCAAAACAACAGCGACTTTCATTATGAGAACTGTTCCAGGTATTTTAACACACATTTTTTTTTTAAATAGAACTTATAAAATTAAATTACCTGAAACTTAATTTAAAATATATTGATTTTAACTTTTTACTATTTTGTCAGATGGAACTATACTATTTACTTTTGAATATCCCGTAAGAAGTAATACTGGTATACCATTTAGAGAAACCGCTATAACATACGATGCCAATTATCTTGTTGTCCCAATTGCTGAGAAAAGCGTTAGAGACTGCATCATGATATACAATGCCAAAACCGGTATGAATATAAGCAAAATCCCAATAAAATTACCAGGATTTAAGGTCAATAATTTTTATAATCGTTTCAATAATCTATTAATTATGATAGTATAATAATTTGTTTGAACAATTTGACATTAAAGGATATTATTTGCATTGTACCTATGCCAAACAAGACACAATGGGTCGGCGTTATCGGCTCTGATAAAGGTACTATTTTAGATATTATTAAGAAGAAAATAATTAGATCTATTCCAAAATGGAGTGGTAATATAAGTAAAGATGGTAAATATACCTTGTATGCTCCTAGTAGGTAATAAAAATATTAACATAGTTAAATTTTATAAAAATTAAACAATTAAGACAAATTTATATACTGATTTAATTAAATTTGTTAATTTAGAGGGGGTTTACAACTGATTGAACTGAGAAAAGGTACCACCGTTAAAACATATATACCAAAAGTAGCAGAAGGAGTTTTTACAATTATGTCAATGTTTAATAGAACGGATGAATACGTACTTTATTATCACAGTGGACGAAAAACTATAAGAGTGTTTAGGTAAGAAATAAGTTAAACACAATTATTAGATAAAAGTAATAATAATATCGTGGTAAATAAGATAGTTGATTTAATTTAAAAAAAATTAAACAGATCCTCTGATTGTGAATTAATTGCAAACTATCGAGTACAAGCTGAATTAAGTGCAATTGATAGTACCAACGATGGCAGAAGTATAGTCTTAGGAACCGTAGATGGTTGTGTATATGTACTTGCCATAGCAGATACGCAAAAATCAGAAATGCAAGATTATCTCGCAAATTTACCTTCGCGTGACGAAAAGGTTAGTGAAATGGGGTTATTGTATTGAAAATTACATTGTTATATTAAAAAATGATAATTTTTTCAATGCCAAAAAATGCATTTGGCTTAAAGGCCTAGATTTCAAAAAAATTTCTAAAAAAAAATGATAAATTAATATAATAAATATTGATATAAAAGAATAAAAACAAACCTAATTTTTGGTTAGCTTTCCGGCGTGAGAGAAAACGCCGATTTTAAATCTCTGGCAGCATGTTATGAGTATTATAAGCGTTATATTTTTGTCGATATTTTCTACATTTTTCACTTTCACCAATATTTAAATGTTAATTTTGTAAAATTGAACAATATTTGTGAAATGCGCGAAAACTACGGAAATACAGGTAAAGGGTTTTTCGACCTCTATCGATATATATCTAATTCAGATAACACTAGAGATAATTGTATCTTTACGGTAAATACGCATGTGGGATATTAAATTACTTAAAATTATGAACGAATAATATGAAAAAAAAAGTAAAATCTACTTTGGTATAAAGCAATACATTTGTTTACGTAATGGAATTTATGATTAAATTTTCTAGTTGTAAAGATAATTCAGATAACTTTATCTGTATTATCGATAATGCATTTGCCATTCGATCATTAGTTATTTTCATTTAAATAATCATCTATTTCCTTCAAATAATTAGTTAAATGAAATACCTTTGGCAAGCATAATTCAAAAATGGTGTAAAATTACATTGTTCATAGTTGTTTTATAATTGAAAACACTTAAATATCGAATGCATTTAACTGATTCGATATATCGCCGCGATCGATCTGTAAATACCGTCTCTAATCTAATTAGTAAACTTGCAAAGTTAGAGGCAAAAATTTAAATAATTTCAATTAACAGCTTATTATGATTCTATGATTCTGGATATTATAAAAAAGCCATATTTATGAAATTTTACTTGAATATTTTCACCTACGATAATCTCAATTTTATGTAAAAGAAAGTATTATAATGAACAACAATTTCACAAAATATTTATTTTATACGTAAAAATTAAACAACAATAAATATATTATGGCCAATAAACAATTAAATTTTGTTTCCAAATAGATCTAATATTATCAGTTACTTTCTTGTAAAAGTACACGGTTACATTTTACAAAACTTTGTCCGAGTACAGAATATTTATATTAATAAAATTATAACGTTAACAGTCATCTATAATTTATATTTTACATTGCAAATTCGTCTTTAAAAGCAAATCGATTAACAATATAGAAATTGATGAAACAGTATTCTATATGCATTTCAAATCTTTTAATTATCTAATAATTCTAAATGGAATTGCACTTTCATCGAATTATATTACAAATTATTAAAAATTGGGTTATAAGAATAAATCGATATACTCTATGGCATCACATAAAAATACTTGGGAAAACCAACGACAAAATCCGTATAAAAATTGCACAAAATATTTAAAAAATACTGTTTTCCATTGTTTATGATGAAAAAGACGTAGTAGCCTCCTCATTATATAATAGAATTATATAAAAGAATCAAATTGTATAGGAATTGTATAAAAGTATCTACGTAATTAATTTAATATTAATGTTTTTGAAAGTACATTTAAGTGAGAAAAATCTATAGAATGAGTGCAATAAATGTTAGAGTATAAATAAATTGATTATTCTCACAAAATTAATAGAAAATATTGAAATTCCAACGTAGTAAGAGATATTATTTCTTATTTTTTTAAACCACCAACTTAATAGGGTCCAAAGGATGTTTATTTTGTATTTAAATTTTTATTCTCGACTGTCCAAGCGTCATTCTCTACCTTCTTTTGTGCGTAACGAAAAAAATCCTCACCAAAAGTCTTATAACGTTAATTGCATTTTAAATTGTAATTTCGTTGCCACCACTTACTTAAAGCAGTATAACAATTTTTCAAATTCATGTTATATTTTGTTGTATTAAATAATATTACACTTTTTTTCTTTTTCTTTTTTTTTTTAAACTATAAGCATAAATTATTTTGTTGTTTTTATTGTAAGTATAAATAAATATAAAATAAGCATTATGATCAATTAATTTTATTATATACGTTTTATATAATTCATTTATCATATTCATTGCTATTTTTCATCTTTATTTTGTTTTTAATATCAAACGATATTATAATAAATACAAATAATTCTTTATACATTAAAATTAAGGAGCTATTCAATTGATAGATTTAATAGCTTTATATTAATGCTGATAATTTCCAGACAACAAATAATAATTCTCTAGATCGTCTAATTATCTTTTGGACAAATCAGTATTCCACCGATTTTCAAACCCGCGCGAAACTTATGATGTTTATAATCCAAATTTTAATTTCAAAATAGACTTATTATTATACAAGTGTACTTTCATTATTAAAATTTAGAATACAGTCTAATTTAATTATTGTATAATTTACAGACGCAATTACCAATTTTTTACATTATCCAGTATATTAAGATTTATAAATAATCTAAATAAATTAATAGTCATTTTAAGCATACTTTAAAATTATTAAAAACAAAATATTGCAATTTCAAATGTCTTTTAATTAAAGGATTTTAATTCGTGATATATGTTGTTTATGCTTATAATGCATAACCAATAAAATCTGAATTATCTATCTTTTTTACTGCTCTGATAACGATTTCATAACTACGTTTTATTTTACAGTGGAAAAAACGTATGGAAAAGCAACGGGCAGTGATAAAGTTCAAAGCAGCTGCTCGAATTGCTTGCGTTACACATGAGTTAACAAATATTGTAAGAATAGAAAATACGTCCAATTTATCTAGTCAAGATGATGAGAATAAAGAAAACATAAATTAAATTAACCAATATAATGTATAGAAATAATGTATACATATAAATTTGAAAAATAAAGAGAAACAATATGACTTTCGATATGAGGGGCTTCAAATAAAGAATCAAAAGATAAAAGGTTTAATCGAGGTTTATGGAATTTATATTACATTTTTCTGTCTTTTTTTATTTTAGATTAAATGTATTCATAAACGTTTACATTCTTTCGCATTTACTTTTTCTACTTTTATCCTTGTTTTCTCATCTTCGTTTTCTTTGTTTTCTTGTAGTTGTTTTTAACTCATTTTCTCATTTCTCTCTCTCTCTCTTTCTTTCTTTCTTTCTTTCTCTCTCTCTCTCTCTCTCTCTCTCTCTCTCTCTCTCTCTCTCTCTCTCGCTCTCTCGCTCTCTCTGTCTTTCACCATAAATGTTTCAGTTTTCTCAGACATTCTCAAGTGATAGGAGGCACGGGGCGCATTTATTCTCATTACTAAAGCAACACTGCGTGTTTTTATCTTTTTGTCTTTAAATTAATAAATGACGATTGTTGCACTAAACATCCTACCCTTGCATAGGCTGAAATGGGCTTACGCACTCTCCTAGGTACTGCTGTGTCTCACCTGCACAAGGGCAATTTAACTTTTCAACAATTATTTATTTCTCAAACGCTCTTATAAGTGCAAAATGCACCTCGTGCCTAGACACAGGCGTGGCGGAGTCCAATGGATCGTTTCCCTTCATTTATTCTCCAAGTTTTCCTCCTTTTTTTTTCGCTTCTTCATCTTTATTCTCTCAATTTTTCCTATCGAATTTGGTAAACCAAGTAATTTAACGAGCTCCGATGCGAAGCTTCGCCAATGACATTCAGGTGGTCAACGATGATTTAATAACAGCTGACTCTTATATCTCATTAGATCATATTTTTCATTTCCTATTTTACCTGAATTCTTAATGATCTTTAAACAACTACTATACGCATTTTTCCGTAACAATGTACAACTAAAACTAGCAAACACGCCTGCTTCAGCACTTATACACATATGATCGTATATCGCCGACTTGTTGAGAACCTCTATTGGATCTACTTTGTGTCAAAGTCAAGTTCTCATTAGCTAAAAAATTATTGTTTAATTCTTGACAGTTTTTTATTGCATTATGATGGTTTCTGGTATTGTTGATTGTGCTCACAATGCTCTATGCTTAATTAGCCGTACGATCAAAATGCAACATAGAATACACTGTGACTCTAAATAGGCTCATTATTAAAGTTGTTAATTCATTCATAATTTTTTTGGTAGACTACTTTCAGTATTTCTTTTTTTTTTATTCTTTTTAATCTTGTAGATAATTTGCTCCTTTTTCTCGTACTTTCCATAAATATAATTAACACAACAAAAAGTGTGTCGGCTCTTTTTCTATGGCGTATAATTTATTTCCTATTGCGTGCTGTTGCCTTTTTGTGTTTGCTGTTGTGATTGCGATGGTTGATCTTTTTGTAGTGATTCTGCAGCTGCTGTATCTCGCATATGTTTTTCAACCTAAATAAACATAATGAACAGTAGCATTACACTATAAATATTTCGATGGAAAATTCGAGAATCATAATGATCTTTACGACGTGCTAACTACAGCGAGCTCAATTTCGATATTTATTATCATTTTAATTTAAAAAATTAACAAAAACTTTTATAAAACGTACTTTCCTTAAATTAATACAAAAATTTTCAATACTACAAGTAATACAAGTAGCAAAGCAAATTTGAAGAAATTTGCAATAAACCGGCTCTATTATCGACGTAATCGAACATTGGTATTATTCAAAATTTGGAATGAAAATTGTAGAAATGGTAACGTTGTTAAAAGCTATTACTTGGATAATATAAAATCGATCGTACGTAAATTATTGCGACTGTCTCATTATATTTTATTGTATTCAAGCTAATTAAATTTGGTGCTAGTTAAATTTAAAAATAATTTCCCACCCGCTTGGCGTGGACTAAGAATTTATTATTTGTTTTGAATATTTTTGTCGCTAATCTCTTAAAATTCGAATCGTCGAATTAAAAACTATTCCTCGTTACTGGATATTGCAGTTAATTTTTATAAATACTTACATTCATTTACAAGATAAAAGAGATAAACGATTCTCACCACTTTCTTTATATGAGTGAACGCCTTATCGTCCGAGTTGCCTTGAACATTTTCAATTTTATATGGAGGTATAATGGTGACTTTATCCCAGACGACTATATTAGGTCCATTCCATGTGATTTCATTAATGGTCTTAGAGATGGCAATGAAAAGTTTCTGTCCCTCGGGCGACACTCCGGCCTGCAGAGCCTTTACCATTCTCTTCTTCTCTTCGATCTGATTACGCACTCTTGTATTTAGCCTCTGCAGATTAAGACTCTGTGGTGGCTCGCTCGTCGTTGGACTAACTTCCTTCTTTACCTGCACATCGGACACCAGTGACAAATTTACTATGTGAACGTCGTTTAACGAAGCTCTGCCACACGACGACGGGCATTCTGCATTTCAAACATTCTTGTTAAGGAATAATAGCTACGTGCACATGTGTCTTTAAAACGCTCTGAAATAGGGAGAGGGAGGAAAAAAAATGACATGATCCACCAGATGGGTTGGTCGAATAAAAAGAAGCGTTGACGCTAAAATAAGAACCGCAAAGAATGCGCCAAGGGTCGGCTTATGCGGCCAGGAAGAATACGACGTAATAACCGTATCCGAGTACTTGATCGAGCCTACAGAAAGGGATAAATTAACCTGACTTTCTGGGCGGGTGCCATGAAAACGTCCATATCCCATCCGTGGCTCGAGTCGAGCACGCGGCCGATCGACGGTCCCGTCGCGCAGCTCCTAGTCGCCGGATGGAAAATTAAGGAGTCGGTGGTCATTCGTAAGGGAGAAAAGGCCCAGGGGTCGCAGTTATTTACATCGGTCGCGCCGACGACACAATCGAGTGGACACACAGAGACACACGGGGGCAGCGAGAGGAGCTGCGGTTGAGACGAGTTTGGGCGCGCAAAGTGCCCTTGTTACGAGCACCCGACCCAAGCGCTAAATCTTTTAAAAGGATACTCAATATCAACATCTTCGTCTGCTGATCGAACGCCAGTACCTCGCCTTCGATCTCCTTGTCATAACAGGTTTTACATGCCACGGTACTCCCAATGCTGAAGTAATCGCTGACGCCGGCCATTTTTCACTACAGACAGTGCCTGCGAAACGCTGCCGCCACCTGACGGTACGTACCCTCTCTTTCGAGCCGCCTCTCCTGCCCCCACCCGACGCCGCAGCCGCTGCCACCGCCACCGGCACCACCACCACCGCCGCCACCACCACCACCACCGCCGCAAAATCAGCTACGCGCTCTCGCTCTCTCGCACGTACGCACGCACGCACGCACGCTCTCTCTCTCTCTCTCTCTCTCTCTCTCTCTCCCCCACTCAATCTGTCTGCCCCACGCTGCACAGCTCGCACGAGAGGTCGAGTCACGAGCGAAGCGCCCTACGCTGGCGTCCCTCGGCGATCGTTTCGTCAAGCTCGTACTTGTAGCTTCGCACTGCAGGTAACTACAGGATCGACCACCTTGGGACGCGCATCGCTCGCTAACTCGAGCCGGCTTTATGCAACGTACGTCGCCGTCGCTACCGCCGCCGCCGCCGCCGCCGCCGCCACCGCCGTTGCCGCCGCACGTACGCGAGCCCAATGATAAAGCCGTCACGTTATGTAGGTTGTTGTCCTGTCAGTCAGTAGCCTCGGTGTTTGCTTATGATCCAATCGCTGATAAATGCCCGAGTGGGATTCATTGTTAATGTGTTCTGACGTCGAATGCCCGTATCTTTCCAGGAATGCTCGCTTAAAAGTCGTAAAGCATCGACATTACTAAATAACGTTCCGTAAATTATTGTGCAATGCATCGTCGGCCTTCGTAACAAGCTGCGACGAAAATTTTTGCTCTCTTATAATGTAATGGGTGTTGTGTGAGGAAAGTGCTCCTTGGCTCACCCGACGACCTTCAAACGTTTCGCACACTTTCGAGTACACTCGACGGAATCGTCTATTTTCACCTGAAAAAAATATTCAAGCCAATTGCCGCCTAAATTTATCCTGACGATGGCATTCTAATGCTGGACCATCGAGTACTCAAGCTCCATATTACGTCGGATGGATGCCTTTGGATAGACAAACTCGTAGCCCCGTTAATGAGGGATTTTGTGAAACGTTATTACGCGAACCTTACCTCCTCGCCCTCTCTATCGAGATTAATAAATTTACTCTATTTACGTAACAGACCGATAGGTTATCGTAATTGCTTGTAAATTGTCTAAGCGTACAAGAATTTTGATATTTTTTATGACTACTATTCGTTAGTAAGTTACCATGCTCGCGACAAAATTCTTGGGGATTTATATATTTTTGTAGATAATTTGCAAAAAATTAATGCACATTGGTGTATATAGAACTTTGTGCTTAAACCGATATAGACAAGTACTACATTATAAGAATATTTTTTATAATCAGTCCTCATTTTTTTATAATCTAATGCGTAGTTCGTATCATTATATAATTTGTAATGATAATCACTTGATAATAGGTGGTATCGTATAGAAGAAAAGCTTAAAAAAAAAAAAAAAAAAAAAAAAAAAAAAAAAAAACATGTTGTTTTATATAACTAAGCGGAATAAATGTAAATTATATTATACGATTAATATTATAATATTGTACTTTAACTAATACTACTATAATATATGGGAATATACAAGGGATATGGCATCTTCTCTGAACTTGAAACTTTTGTCAATCTTTTATTGGAATATTTTTAATATTAAGTACTGAATTATTAAATTAAAAACAAATATTATAATTCGACTATTAGCATTGACAAAAAGAAAAAAAAAAAAAAAAAAAAAACTAAATTACTATTGAATGAAATGTAATAATTTTATTAAACGAAACCGTAAATATTATCGCGATTAACATTCAATAGGCTTTAAAAATTTATTCGTAATATCTATTTAACTATTTCACCAAATATTTTTTTGCCTTTTTAATAAATAGGGGCTACAACCTTTAGATAAGAACAATTAACGTAAATAGATAAATAAATGATGTAGAATAGCCTATTAAATCTATAAAGTGTAAATGCGCTCGTAAGCATATTATCCAAGTACGTTAAAATAATAAAATAGTGAAAGGTATCTTAAGCAAAATTAGAAATCTAAATATTAAATTACCCTTAATGAATGTTTTTCGTGTCGTTAAAATAAATATCCGTTAACGAATTACAGGTTTACAATTAAGAGAGATAGATATGAATGACATTGACCATGTGGGATGCTGCATTTATGGGAAAAACAAAAATATAAATACAACTACTTAACAACGAGACAAATTATCTCTATGCTGATGATTCGTTTTATCAATGATGTATTATCACTTATTATGATTATTGTTATTAAAGGTCAATAATCAATAATGGCACAAATAACCGACAAATTCTCGTTGACTTGGATAATAGAAAAAACAACAATAATAATAATAATAATAATAATAGTAGTAGTAGAGATATTCGAGCTACTACTGTACATAGCTATTGACAATCACAAAAATAGACTCGTTGCTGATCTAATAAATGGACACTTAAATCATACTAGGAATTACACGTACTTGTTTCATATCTTACGATATGTACGAAAAAAATTTGGTTTATTTTATGTAGAGTTTCATTCTAGCTTCTAGTATACACATGTACAGCATAAATACAAAAATATAATTCCCGATATTTTGTATAAAAGAAAGAATATTAAAATTTGATGTAAAAATTCTATCCGCATTAAATTTCACAATAAAAACATCGAACAAGAGAAGAAATAGATATAATAAAATATTTTTCAGATAATCGTTAAAATACTTAATTTAATTTAACTTTAATTCGATATCATCTATTCTATATAATATATCGAGGGATGTTTGCTTCCTCTTAATAAATTGGAGATTCTTTTCTAATCTAAATCGAATTTTTTTTAATTTTTTTTTTTTTTTTTTTTTTTTTATTATTTATTTTCGAACGCGTCAAGTGAAAAATATTATTGATGATATTATATTTAGAAATGGACGGTTAGAAATAAATTATTTTCACAGTTCTCAATTGTCCCTTATTTAATTTACGTATCGAAAATATTATTAGCATTTTTACAAGAGAATGAGAAGAGAACACTTATATTGTAATGAAAGTAAAATTATTTCGAATTTTAATAAAATACCCATGGTCCACATTATGTCCACTGAAAACTCCTCGCAAATTTCGTTATATAAAATCGGTAGCAAATTTCAAGTTTGTTTTATCTTCCGTTGCCTAACGACAGACAATCAAAAAAGAAAGTACAATTTTTTACTGAAAAAGAAATAAGATTTTTTATTTAGACCAACAGCAGTAACAACGCAGAATACAATTACTAATTTATCAGTTTGTTGGATGGATTACGTAAACGTTCTTTTGAGTTTTGACATTAGATATTTGTAGATACTAATTAATATTAAGTTTCATATAATTAATTAACTAAACTAATTACTTATTAATTATTCACTATCTCACAAAAAGTTAAAAATAAAACTTCACTTTAGCATTGTTATAATTTTTAAATTACTTTTTCTAATAATCCAATAGAACTTTTAATCATAAAATTACGATTAAGGGATTATAATTAAACGCGAGTGAATTTTGTAAGCTAAATTAAGTTACTTATGCAACATATATTTTAATGAATAATCAATGACGAGAAAAAGAACTTTAATTATTTCACATATCGAAACTACACTTAACGATATATTAAATGTTTATTATTGTTGGAAAATGATCTCATTGACCAAATGAAATAATCTAAAACGATAGTCTTTAAACTTTCTTTTTAGAGCATTAATAAATAAACATATACATCTCCATTTTATGAAAATTCATTATCATCGTTTCACTATAGAGTTTAATATTAATTAGTTTTTATTTAAATACTTTTCAATTGAGAGCAATTTCATTATAAAATAAATAAGAATTTTCAATTATTCATCAATTGTTTTCGTAGTTTAAGACAAGTTGATAAAAACACTGAATTTAAGTTTTTTTATTTTTATAAATATAATGAATAGAAAAAAATAGTTATAAATCTAGTTATAAATATAGTTAAGCATATCGAAAATGGGAATGGATTGCAAAAGAATTAATGATCGATGGCCTTGAAGAAGTCAAGTATAATTAAGACAGAAAACGAATTTGTCGGGTTGCAATAAAATATAATATATTTGTATGCTGAAAAGTATGAATAATTAAAAAAAAAAAAAAAAAAAATGTATATAACGTTACATGCTATATAGGCTGCTTCTCCGTGGATGCACAAATGTTATCAATTGTACACAATTTGACAAATTACGCCTCATATTATCAATGTGAAATAGCTAGAAATCTGTATTAGCGTTATCAAAAAAAAAAAAAAAAGTGGACAAAGTGGAAGGTCCAATCGTAAGGAATTAAGAATTGTTTATTTTTCAGAGAGTTCAGAGAAGCAAGAGATTATGTACACAGTTAATGTAATCACTAATCTAACATGAGCATAGTACATTATTCTGTAATTGGAAACAAAGACCATTAATCTATCCTTATCAATTTATCCATACTAATATTTAGAATAATACGATTATCTTGAGCCAAAGTGAGAATCTAGTGGGCGATAAATTTGTTTACAGTTTTATAAAATTATTATTATAAATTATGTTCTCAAATAATATAAATATATAAATGCTTGAAATATTAAGTATACATAACTCGAAAAACTGTTGCAAATATCGTTTCAAACGTACCTTAACCATTTGAAATGATTTAATTAAAGATATTGTTGAAAAATAGTTTAAAAAATCATCGTAAATTTAATGTCAAAGAATATTGTTTGTGTCTTTGCATATTGTAGTTCAACGCTAGTACAAATGACTTTGTTGAATTTATTATTATATTTTACATGATCTTGATTTTACTTTGCTTAATGCGCATTAAGTTAACAACGTCATTATGTCTGAATATTATTATTGATTATTAAGTCATTTTTATTAGAGTGAATAAATCGCCTAGTACTTTCCTACGAAATGCTTGTCGAAATTTGATTGAAAATCTAATCAATCTATCCTTTGATTCGACCGAACTGTTGCATTTGTGTAAATAATAAATTTTCACGCCATTAATATTACGATATTAATGTCGCGCTATACGTGCAAAAAATTGTAATTAAAATTCTAGTCTACATCGTTAGGGACTGGAATAATAAAATTATTAAAATAGCAGAATGTAGGCCTAAATAAAAAAAAAAAAAATATTGCTTACGTCAACTTAGATATTTGCAATCTTTCGTGACAATGTAGTACATTGCGAGTAAATTACACTTGTCGAAGCGAAGCGAAGATGATAAAGGAATTGTGTGGAAGGCAATGATTATTGTATCAGTAAAAAAAATCTCAACCTCGGGGAACAAATTACTATTAAATTATACACCTTTTTCCCCTCGGTTCCGAACAATAAAGCACGCGACAATTAAACAATCTCGGTACGAGCGCTAGATATGCCTGCCTAGGCCTCTCATTAGCCAGCGCAAAAATAATGTAGGGCAAACGATATTCTAAGGATCGGAAAGCCCATGCCACGGGGACTCGTGATAAGCTTCGCATCCTTGGATCGACGGTTGCGAGTTGCCGTTCCCTCGCATAACTCAGGAGCTCCTGTCACCAGTTGCCAAAAGACGCGCGAACTCGCTCGCGTTAATTAGCTATGCGGACGCGTCGGCGCGTGTGCACCGGATAAGAGGACACGAGGCATTTATAGCGGGTAGCCGCCGATGTCGTGGCCAGCCGAATAATAAGTATTCTCGCGGGCTCTTCCGCATGAGGGGCGGAGGCA